CCTTCCACAGACAGCTGTCAGTTGTCCAATCTTTGACTCCGACGGTCGAGGCCTTTGAAATTGATGAGGCCTTTGCTGCTGCCTTGGCAAATGAGGCGAAGATAAGCGTCAACTTTGACGCCCTCTTGAACATATTTTTTCAGTCGGTTTCATTCTTTCTAAGTTTCCATTTCGGTTTCGATTTCCCTTTCAAAGCTCTTGTTTTTCGTACCGCTTTGCTTATCATCGAAACTGTTGCTTCTTCCTCGAAACAAGCAAATAGGCAATGAAAAAAAAGAGGCTTAGGTTCGCTGGCTGTCTTTTGGTTTTTGTGCCTCTTGCCTCGCCTCATTTGAACCCGACGAACCTTGTTCCATTCCCTTTTACTTTTTTTCTATACACATATTTTTTAAACATTTTTTTTGGAATTGTTTTTTTCTTTATTTTCAGTTGTTGCTGCTGTTTGTGCGTGACATATTTGTGTGAGCATTTGACTCTTCTCTTTTCCCTTTTGGGGGTAACTATTTGTTTGCCTCCGTGCTTGACTCGGATTTGTTGTCTGGCACTCTATTTTTCATTTGGGGTATGGAAAATTGCCTATCAAGGATAGAAAAGGGTGCCTAAGGCTTATCATTCTTAGGGATCGATGAGGTAGTCATGCAAATGGCACATAGTGTTAGATTAATTGTAATAAATAAAATAAGTGTCAAAGTGGTGCAATAAAATGAAATATCGGCAGTCTTAATTTAAAAGAGTTTTATTTTTTCTTGACCTAAACGACTAAACAATTTCTAAATTGGTTTTGGCTTTGAGTTATATAATTAAATGTCAAATACATATTACATTTTTATTTTCATATTTAATAGGATCGAACACTCATTCAATTGTTTCCAACGCAGCTGGTAAGTTCGTCCTAGGAGAGAAGAGCTTACATTTTATTAGCTGAAAATCAAATTGCACAGTTTTGTATTGTCTATTCTATGCGTATTTGTTAATAACACAATAAATTTTTAATTAAAAATGTGTATTTAAATTCTATTCGCATCTGAGGAACGGCTTAATTGAGGAAACTTAATTGTTATTTGTATTGAAAAGCACAAAAAAAGACTAGCCCAAGGACTAACATTAGAGTACGTAAATGTCGGTTCTTTTACAATAATATCATACATTTATAGTCCATAGGCTCCTTGTACTGACAAAGGGAGCCAGATTCTGGATGGAGGGACAAAATCATCACTCATCGTTCTCATCGCTGCTTGCACTGATTCCGCAGCTGCTGCTGCATCCGAGAAAATCCCCCAATGAATAGCAAGTTGCAAACTGCATTTGAATTGCAAACCCAGATCCCCTCCGCCCCCTCTGTCAAGCAGCAACTACCCACATTAGTTTAGCATGTGTTTTACATAACTGAGAGTCTGAACCGGAGGCTGGGAATACGACTGTTCCCCAAAGCTAAACTGAATCCTCGGCTTATGCTCCACTTCTAACAGTCTGAACTTTTGGTTTTTCTTTTGCTCTAACATGTTCATTATTTTTTTCTGCGTGCTTTTGTACACATAAAACTATTATTTTGGATCGGATATTATAACGGATATGTTTTAAATCAAACAAGTCACTAGGTTTGTTAAAACATCACGAATGGTCACGTGCGCTTCTCTTTCAATTAAACGTTTTCTGTTTAATGCACATAAAATATAATAATGTTAATTTTGTAAACTTTTTAAATGAAATGTTGGTAAGTAATTAATCTTTGTAAATATTAAAAGTATTTCAGTGTAGCACTTCCTGTTTGTCCTATTGCTAATCACACTTCATCTTTTGGGTCGGAATTCTAGTTTCGTTGCTGCTTCTACGGAATCCAAGATTTAACGATTCGGGGGTCCACGAAATGTACGCAGCTCAACAACAAAATTTATTGAAATGGCAAAAGGAAGACCTTGATCTTTAGATTATCACATCAATAAATGGTTTTCGTGTTTTTTATTCTTCTTATTTTTTGTCGCAGTCGTTTTGCCGCTGCTCTTTTGGCGGCGTCTTCAGCATCTAGTCTTCATCTTCTTGTTGTTCTTGTTCTTTGACGTGAAAGAAACGAAACCGAAATCGAAATGAAACGGAAACTGGTGGAACCAGTCGAGCAGCAGATGAAAAAACAAATAAAAACCAAGCCCACTGATCTTACCAAACCAAAAGAACTTCTTCGGCTAATTAAGAGTTTTGGTAAGCGCCAGCTAACTCGTATTCGCATGTATATATCGATATCCAAGATCTCGTGCCATTAATTTAAATGCAACTCTATTAAGAGAGTCTTTCTGCGTGAAGTCACAGTCGCCCCGTCTCGACTTTGATATTGCTGCTCGCAAAACGTATTCCACAAATGACGCTTACGTGATTACATAAAGAGCCATAAAAAGTGATTTGAACTTGAAATCGCTAAATGCGCCATGCAATTGAAACAAATACATGGCAACAGAAACAAAAAACGGCGCTTGTTAAAAAAAAGACTAGAGAAAATCACTGAAATCTGTGGAAATAAAAACGTACTAGCCATAAAATCGTTACAATGACAACGGACAGGCAATGGCTAAAACAACGGCAACAACAGCAACAACAGCGCAGTTTGCCAGTAGATCAAATTGAATAACTGCTTTAGCTTTCAGCTACAGCAGCAGCAACAACAACAACAGCATTCAACTATATAACAAGAAGATCAACAAAAGCAGGCAAAGTCGAGAAGAGCGCATCAATTAGGCTTACAGCCATGTACAATATGCATATATGTACCCCTCTATATAGTATATGGTATAACATTCGTGTTCTTGGCGATGTCGCTGTTGTCACTGCCCTCTGTTAAAATGACAATAGCTGCTGTCGTAACAGATGTTGCTGCTGCTGTTTTTGCCGGAGCTACTGATGTTCTTACTGGTGTTGTGGCTTTTTGCTACTACGAATTTCGCCATTGGTCCGTCTGATATTGATTTTCCTATAGCCGTAGGCCCTGATGTTGCTGCTGTGGTCATTGGTGTTGCTACTTAGCAAGCAGATGTTGGGAATGTTGCTTATAGGCCTGCATTTCCATTAAAGTTGGTCTTAATGGTCTTAACGGTCTTTTCTCAAACGCTGTTGTGGTACATAATTTTAAATGTATTGTTTCTAAGTATTATTTAATTTTTTATTTCTTTGTTTTTTAGTTCTTAGTTTTAAATTATTAAATATTTTTTATTAGTATTTCCGTAAAAAAAGAAATGTTTTTATTCTTAAAAGCAATAGCTTTTTAAAACAAGATTTCATTACCGCAAGTTTTATTATTTTTTGGAATCCGTAATCTATTGAGTTTAGTCCATCAATTTAATAATATTTAAAAATAATCTCATAACGCTTTTTTATACTTTATTATATGATATTATCTTCGTTTCCACAAAAAATAAAAGGCAACTAAAAGTAAGATCCAAGTTAAACATAGAAAAATAAATATAACATGTTACTCACCTGATCAAGTGTAAGATGTATCTGCAAGACATATTCTATCCAGCGATCTGATTACGAACTTACGTCAGCCTCAATTATGACTCACAGACACAGAGAGATTCTTGGCCAAGACAAATACGACAATATGGTTAAGCAAGATGCCTATCTTAAGAGTGCAATTTAAATTTGCAAACTAACTGAAATTATTTCGCCTTGGAAATGGCAAAGCTCATGCAATATGTTCTGATACTCGCCGCAAGTTTTATGTATTTAGTCGACTTTCATTCAAAATGCTCATGCATTATTTAGACCAAACAAATTAACAAAAAAGCCTCAGAGCAATTCAATTTCGCTTTCACTGGCAAACAAACACAATGTCACTGTGGGTTAACTCAATCGAGGAAGCCGCTTAGAGCCAAAACAAATTAGCAGGAAAATATGGCCAGTCGGCTAGATGCGAATGCAAATTCAAATTCAAATTCGAAAATTGGATTGTCCGGGCTTTCTGGCCGGGGGCCAATTGTTGTAGCCGGAAGCGAAATTCTCATGTCCTGTGGACCCAAAACTCGCATGACAATGACAATTATCCCAGGCTAGTGACTATTATCCCAGTGCCATCCAAATGCTCGGGGGGACACGCCCACTCAATGAGGGATAATTGTGAGTTACGCATACGACAAGTGCGCCCCAGTATGGGTTTGATTTTATTGGCCACCGTCTGAACCCCAGAGCCAAAGCCAATTTGAGCCTGGCCCAAACCATTTGGCAAGAGGAAGCCAAACAACCGAACGAGAAAAAAAATGTGAAAATGAAAATGGGCAGAGACACACATTTCGGGGGCCCATAGAAATTTCCAAGTTTCCCTTTTTTTTGGAGGAGGAATCCCCATCGGTAAATTGAATTGAAGCGTCGCCAGAATTGGAAAGGCATCAATTTAATACCAGGAGGATGTCTGTTCTCCATATGTGTCTATCAGAGCACACAGAGAAAAAATCAAACATATGTATATTTTTTTGTTTCCACATTTTTTTCATATGGAAATATTCTGTTAGAAGTGCTTTTGTTTCCACATTTTCATCTCATCAGGAGAGTCTATTTAGCTATGTCCGTTCGTAAATAATGGGAAAACCAATTATAACTTCGCTGTTTCTTGCTACATATATAATTTTATTCTAGTCATTCTAAGCGATTGTGAGAACCTAATTTTTTAAAAATCAGATGACTGTATCATAAAGCTGCGATAGAAATGATAGAAAAATTTTTCGGAAAATTGTCATAGCTTCATTGTTTTTAGGCATATACGCATAAAAATCAAAAAAAATTATGAGTAATAATATTTTTATACACACTTCGCCTTGTTATTAAATAATAATAATATAAAATTTATTAATTTATTAGGAGATATTTGTGGAATAAAGCAAATTACCTTAAGCAAATCTATTTCTCAATTTTAAAAAAGTGATACTTCTTAAAAATTTCTTTTAAATTACTTACAACGGTATTGAATTAAAACCTTATAATACACCAACCCCAATTTAAGATGATAAGGTTAAACATTTGCAAAGTGAAAATAATATTTTTTAATCAAGTATCTGTTCCCTTATTTTGGGGACTTTTTCTTTTCAGTGTAGTTTTATATGTATGTGGGTTTCGGGAACAAGGACACGGGAATCAGCTCAATTGGGTTCCTTGAGAGACAGGCCCAATCAGTCGAGTGAAACTGTCGTTGGTAATTGATTTTGGTAGGGCCAGCCCGAGCTAATTAAGTTATACGATTTCCCCTCCATCACCGCAGCTCCTCCAGCCATTGACTATGTTGTAATAATTAGCGATAGTTATGCAATTAATTCATGTTGTCACCGCCATCGTTGGCATCATCAATGATCCCAAACCTGGTTGAGGGGTGCATTGAATCGACCCGGTCTGGGTTTTACATGGTAATTCAATAGGTACCACTCAAAGCAAAAGGCTTCCGCCTTCAGAAACTCAAGTTTTTCGGTGGGAAATGCGATAGACTCCAGGAAAAAAAGGGCCTTGTTCAAGTTATCAACCAAGGGAGTCCGGGTGCGTGTTAAAATGCGCAATTTAACTGAAAGAGGAGGTTATTTAACCATGTGTCCATAGGCTTATAGAAAAAACATTTTGTAAAGCAAAGAAAAACAAGAAAGGATGCAAACTATGGAAAGTTTATATACCCTTGCAGCGTTTACAAAAATTCAATATTCAAAAGGAATATAGGTCAATTATCCTATAAATTTTTTGATCATTCCTATATCAGCCATTTGATATAGTCGTTCGATTTTTATAAAAGTAAAACCATAATCTGAAATCGGTAAAATGACTTAATTACATAGTTAATTTTATAATCCTTTTCCTGATTGTTCCTATAGCAGCCATATTTTACAGCTGATTTTGATAAAACTAAAATATTATTTCCTAAATAAAATACTATATATCGGAGATCATGGTTCCTATTGGTGCTATGATATAGTAAGTAGCACGTTCCGACTTGTATAGCATCTGGAACAAAGTTTGCAAAGTTTCATTCAAATAGCTTTAAAACTGAGGGACTAGTTTGCAAAACGTTTGACTGAAATTATAATTTCCTCTGCAAAGGTATTCGAGTTCCACTTATTTTTATTTTATAGAACATTATACTCACCATTGTACATCTTGGTCATGTCATTGTAATTGCAGGCATATGTAATAAGAATGCGACTATAGTCCGTGAACAAGATATTTGTGTTAAAATTAGCTTTAAAATTGGTAAAAAACAATGCTAAATATTTAGACTTAAATATGGCATTAAACAATATTCAGGACTCACGATTATTTTGAATATTGTATGAGGCACAACGTCGCTGATAAACGGGTAAATCCAATGGAGTTGTAGCATATGCAAACCAAACTCCTATTAACTAAATCGAATCATAATATTAGTAAAATTTTCTGGAGGCTTATCATTATTCCTTACTTTCGTTTTGTCTACATTTTTTAAGGTCTTCACTTTGGGGCACTTTTTTACTTCAAATGATGTCAGCAAAGGCTTCCCCGTAGCCCTGCGAAAAAATGTATTAATTTTGACTCCATCAGCAAAACAAACTGAAAGTAAAAGAGTCAGTAATAAGCTTATATAGATCAACCGCATTAGTATAATTTTTTGCTTAAAATAAATACTTAAAATACCTATATTTTCTGAAACATTTGTGATGGTATTAAATTTAATGATATAATGTAATCTAGGCAAATCAATGTAGGCTTGCTAATGAATTCGTTGTGGGTCTTAAAGCGAATACTTCGTTTTTTATTCTTGTCAACGTTTACGTGCCGCATTCTACCAAAGTTTTATTTGTTGAATTTATTTGACTTTTGTTGAGTATTGTTATTTGCGAGAGAATTGCATAACGAATTGTTGTTTTTGCCACTTTTCACATGTACATATTCCATCACGGAAACGTGCAGCGGAATCGGAAACGGGGCACGGACATTCGCAATTGCACTACGCCGTTGTCTGTCGATATTAACTTGGTCCGTGTAATTTCTGTTCCAACGATTTCCATCTGCAGCGGCTGATGCTGATGCGATTACGTCATCGCCATTTGGTTCACTGATTCGACAAGGCCCCAACGTGTCTTGGTCTCGAGCTGTAAATAATTATTTTAGTCGCCGGAATGATTCCATCGCTGTCTCCTGTCTCCAGTTGGTTAGTAATGCTGCTGATCCTGATGCAACTGATTGAGGTATGGCCCAATTGCTGTTCCTGTCCATCTGTCCGCTGTAAAATCCCCCAGTGGCCGTGCTGCGATAAGAAGTCCAAGTGGTGGAATTCATTTTTCGGTTAAAAAAAATGTGTTTTTGAAAATGAGTAAAGGGGTTAATAAGCACAAGTTTTATTTAAAATCTTCAAATTATTCAATAGCTCTGACTCCAAACTATCTATTAAGACTGTAATTAATTCAACCATTTAGCAAGTTACAAGCAACTAAACTTATTGTAATAAAGATATACTTATACAGTGCTTCTATACATATTATATTAAATTTAAATTTTTTTCCTGACCATTAAAGCTATTTCATTAAGAAAAGTAAAATATGTTTCTTTTTCAATGTCAAAATAAGAAGCAATAGTGGAATTCATTTATCGATTAAAAAATGTGTTTTTGAAAATGAGTAATGAGTAATGAGGGGTTAAATAGCAAAAGTTGCTTGTTATTTAAAAAATAAATATGTTATTTAAAATCTTAAAATTATTCAATATATCTGATCCAAACTATCTATTAAGACTGCAATTAATTCAACCATTTAGCAAGTTATTATAATAAAGTTATACTTATACAGACACAGTGCTACTATATTAAATACAATTTTTTCCTGAGCATTAAAGCTATTTCTTTAAAAAAAGTAAAATAATTTTCTTTTTCAATGTCAAAAGTTCCGTATTGCCACAGCCTCTTTAAATCTGCATAACTTTCATGGCGGCTAAGTGTTTGCTTTCGAGCATGGATGCTCTACTTTTAAGGGCATTAAGCAGCATAATTTATTTATTTTCAATTAAAATCTGTTCAGACTCGTCGCCTCCTGCCGCTGAATTTTGCTCTTGCGGGGGAGCTTTTATTTTTGGTCAATTTTGCGCAACAATTATGTGAACCCACGAACTTTGGCCCCTGTTTTTCTACCCTCCCGTATTCTCAACTTGACTGCCCGACAACGTCAAATGATTTATTCAATTTGTGCTATGAAGCGTAAACTTTTTGTTAGCTCGTTGGCTGCGGAAGTTCACTGTGTGAATCAATCGCGGGAGTTGTGGATCCTCTTTTTCCCCGAGAGCCGCGATATAAATAGTTTTTCCACATGACAATGGGCGGGGATATTCTCTGGCCCAGAAGGTCAAACAGGGATTTGAATATTTAACTTGATGTTGTGCATTGCTGCGGTTAATATAGATAGCGAGGATAGCTATATATATTGTAACAATTTCGGGTTGTTCTGCCAGATAAATTGCACTTTGCAGCTTCATTTGTTACTACTGGTTTTCGGTCAACCGCTCCTCCGTATCCTTTTATTTTACAACAGTTGGGCCATAAAGTTTTCCTTTTACAGCGATATTAAGGTAATTGCTTTTGCCGTCGAAGTGCGAAACTCAGACGGGTGTTTATGGAATGCCGGCCTGCAGACTCATAATTAATAAGCATTTAGTTGGACACACCTCGAGGCGCTCTCCAATGATGTTGTCAAAAAGCGTGAGCTTTTAAAAAGTATACTTCATATTTGATTTTTATGATGCATTTTGCACGCCCCTCAATTGAAGGGCGAACGTGCCCGCCACTCGATGATTTCTCCAGCCTTCGATGGCGGAGTAAAAGAAGAAAAAACTTTGCCGATAACAAAAAGTGAAACCGTAATAAGTCCGGAATTACTTGAGGTTTGTCTGAAGGCTGGGTTCGGGACTAAACCAGTTAATTTGATGATAAGATAAGTCGGCGAGATGAAGCTGATAGGATAGGAAAACAAAAATGAAGAAAATTGCATTAGCGAAGGGAGATCAGAGGAATATTACAAAGCTAAGATGCACAAATATTTTGGGAATAATATAAAAATAAAAAATGTTTTTACTCGATGGATATACCCAAAAAGTAGTTGGGTTGGTTTTATTTCAGAATGACAGAAACACCAACAAATAGATAGCCAACCAATTTATTAAAAGCACAATTAATTATAAGGATATTAATTTTATATTTAGTTTTCAAGTAAAACTATTTATTTAATTTTACGGTCACCAAAGATCGTTTCCATGGGTACGTGCTAATATTAAAGAAAGTTTTATTTTATATAATAATAATTTTAAGTATGTTTAAATATGCATATATACAATAATATGAATACGAATATAAAATAAAAAATATTAAATAACAAGGTTAGGATTTTCTTTTATAATTTATATGCATCAGTCAAAGTAAACTTTGTATACAACGATTCATAAAGCGTAATTTTACTGCTGATCTTATGATATTAAATTTCTGTTCTCAGTTTTTCGAATACATTTTTAAAAAGACAGCAACGATGCCGGGCAGACTTGTGTCTGTCAAAGTATCGCAAAATGTGTTGCTCATATAAATTTCATTTATGCCAGTTAAATTAATTACTGTCAACACATGCGAGGCGGCAGTTCCACTACCACCACCACCATCGACATCGCCTTCGCCATCGCCGAGAAGAGCAGCCACAGCAAAAACAATTGCCAATCAGCCACAGAAACTAAAGCAGGCCAAGCGTCCAACCAAAAGTCCAAAAACAACGCAGGAAACTTGGACGGAGAGTGCTGCGAGAGTCGAGCGTGTTGCGAACATAAACACAAAGTCATAAAGTTTTTACACAAAAACATTTAATTTTATTGCATTTTTGGGCAGCAGCCAGACCCCAGACCCCAGTCCCCGCATCCGAATCCGAATCCGAAACCAGACGACGTCGTGAACAATGCACCACCCAAAGGAGGGCGGTGCTATGAGGCTGGCGGTGGGTGTGCCCCATGGTCTGCTGGCCAGGCCAACTTAATTTGCCGCAAATCGAGCAAAACTGCAGCAAACAGAAGCGCTCGGGAGAAGCGGAGCGAACATCGCAAACAATTTTTGGCAGGACAGGCATATTATTTTAAAAACTTTAAAAAAAGATGGGTAAGGAAAACTAAATGTAGAGAAATGTGGAGCAAGAGCTTCAGATTATGTTGATACTGTTAAAAGGAAAATGAATTATTATGGCCATGGCACTACCTTAATTATATTAAATTTAATTTGGCCGACTAGTCCAAAAACTTATGTCACACTTATGTTTCACTTACTATGTATGCCTAATTCATATTTTATAAAATATGTTAAAAAGTCTATAATTGTTCTCCGATCATGGCTGATTTATAAACCAGTTTATGGCCTCATAACTAACAGCGTTCAATTATTCCCGTTCAAAGCGGACATAATCATGGAATTGCAGTTGGTTAGATGGATGTGGCCCACGATTTGGTCGTTGGGATTGTTCCCACACGACTCGTGTGGCAGGCGCGGTTGACGTCAGCAGCATTTGTGGAACACTCGCCCAAAACACATACACAATGTAGACATGCATCTGCAGTTGTTTAGACAACTTCTTGTCTTGGGACTCGCAACTGAAACGAGAAACCGAAAAATCAGTGTTGCGAGCATGCGGCACACTGAAAAATGGGCAAAGTAAAGTTGTTATCTTTTTTGTCTGGAGGTTTCTGTCTTTTCCCCTTCTTTTTCGCGTCATCTCCCCTAAAACTATCTTATTTTTTGGCATGTGCCTAACGTGCAGCATTAAAATAAGAATTATGCGGCAGACGGAAAACTGCAGACCGCAAAATGCAAAATGTAGCACGAAAAGAGAGATATAAAAACATCCAGAGTGCGTATACGTAATGTGCATTAACATCAACAAGTGTGGAGGAAAATTCGCCTAGATTTGTGGGTATTTGTTGGTTTTATGGGGCGGAGGAGGAGGCGGCCGAATGGTGTTGGAAATTGTGTGCTCCCTGCAAATGGGAACAGTGCCAACAACAAATTTATGGTGGATGCCATTTCAAAATGATTTTCAATGCAGGGCCTTTGAGAGCGGCGAAATGTTTGAAATAATGATGCCAATAATAATCATGATGATGATTACGGCCCTAACTGGTGGGGATTGTGGTCTGCTCCACTTGGTTAAAACACACGTTTGGATCGCTAACAGGCCGTTTTAGATGGGAGAACTTTTTGTAAGAGCACCGATACGATTCATAATATGTTTCCCTAAAGCCATACATTTAAACAGTTTTCTTCAGACTTTTGTTAAAGATTTCTTTGGGTCTTAGAGTAAGTTTATGAATTAATAATATTAAAATGCATTTAACTTTCACCAACTTTGATCATTTAGATATTTTAAATAATTAAAAAAGTCTAAATAAATAAATAAAAAACAAGAAAACTAAAATCAAAGCGCATAATTTGCTGGTAAAAGAAATTTTACAGTACCAAATTGAAATTCATGCATTATATTTTATTGGAATTATTGTTTGAATGTTTTCCCATTTCTTACTTCCGAATGCAAGTTTCTTTTGAAAGGCTCACCATATGTTACGCATTTCTTCAGTAGCGCATGCCAACCCCTCCTGAAGGCAACTGCCAGTGTCAGTGTCGGATGAACAACAATCAAGACATTTACATATGGCGAGGGGTGTTTGCTCAGACATAAGACGGGATCCCCAACCACGAAACCAAACACACCATTGCTCCCACTGTCCATGCGGAAATTCAAGGGCAACCTAAACATACTAATCTGCGTTGGTCGGGAGTAGAGAGATTTGAACGGCGATAAAAGCATCCGGGACATGGCCCGCGACCTCTGACCGCCGCCCCCGCCCCCGTCATCCTGGCCACGCCCCCTGGCCTGGCCTCAAGGCTCCGGGCTCAAGGCTCCTGGCCCGTGCCCCGTGGCATATGTCTGGGATGCTCATTAAGGGCGCACAGCATGGCGTGGCTAATGTCACAACAACGTGGGGCGATACTTGCGGGAGGGGGTAGACAGCCCAGCGGGGATTTTCATTTGAATCTGCAGTCAGTAGCCACCATTTTTCATTACTCACCCAGCATTCGTTGTAGATATCAAGTACAAATTTGATGGTAACGTAAAAATAAAATGTTTTGAGAAGGACTTTCCATTTACTCCGGAATAAGTAAATAATTAAATTAAAAATAAATAATTTTGTGGTTTATTATGCACAAGATACCAGGTATCTAGAAGTCGGAAAACAACAAACAATTTTTTTGTCCACTGATTTTTTGCTTTTTCTTGGGCTGACGACGATGAGGCCAAGTTATTTGTTTTGGAAAGGAGTTGGTGGCAGAGGGGTGAAAAAGATTGGGGAAATAAAGAAGGGAGGAAGGCTGGATGACGGTCTCGGCCTTTCAACTTTTATTCCTTATCCGTCGTTTTTATTGTTCTGTTTTCACTGCGGTAGTCAGTATTGTTGCTGCTGCTGTTTTGGGTAATTCAAT